AAGCATTTCCATATTTCGGCAAAGCGATATGCTTCGACTTTGATCGCTATCGGTGCTTTGTGTATCATCGGTATAGTAGAAGAACAAGGATAGCGCGTGAAAGATCATGATTCCGCATTCTTTTCTATCTTTTCTCTCCGTGGTGCGTCCGCGTGAACAATGCGATGGTGTTTGTACATATATATATGGACATACATCAATACATCGAAACTGAGATTTTATTTCTCAGCGTTGGTGAACCTGAAGTCGGAATTTCGGAGTATCACCGCATAGATCTCTAATATCAATTCGGAGTTTGTCCGTTACTCCGGCCGACCTTAAATATAAGACCTGACTATGAATACCAGTCTATATATTTGTTTATATCCGCCATGTTTGTCAAATTAGAAACTCTGTCCAGATTCTTACATAGGGACTCTACTCTCACCGCGTTCTGTGCGCCACAAGCTAGCGCAGTAGATCGTACTTCGGTGCTTTGCGATAGATTCGTCGTTTGGTTCGGATATTTTATTTTATAATATAATATATATATTATTTATAATATAATATATTCGAAAATTAGAACGAATATCACAAAATAATATTAAACTTTTTTGTTTTCTTAATCTCTTTTGCACCCCCAATGCAGCTCGTACCTCAACCTTGGGATACCCTGTATATAAGTATCGCGGTGCGTAAGTCGTAAATATGGCTGGTGTCGAAGTGGATTATTATGGATAATCCGATGGATGGGTGCACTAGAATTCTTTGCAGAGTAAACGATCGGCCGAAAACTCACGGTGGCAGCGGATACTCTCACCTTAATGATGTGTTTTCGCTAAGAATCGTGGAGTGTACGCATTTCTGAGAGTGCCGGGATCTAACGGCGGAGGCGAATTACCTTCACTTCAGCGATTTGCTTGGTTCATATTCGGCACGGATAGTGCTAAGAGCAACTAGATATCGATCTCCCGGCAGAGCAGGAAACATTTTAACTCAATGGATATTCTTTTCGATTGCGGGAAGCGGAGGTTGGGTCAGAATAAAGAGAGTTTAGCTTTATGGGAATTTCTAGGTAGCGGCGGATTTCCCTCTTTTCGATTTTCTCAGCTACGTTTCTTATTGGAGCGGAGCGTCAGATCAGCTCGGGAACAAGCATGTGATCCGAAGATCTGCGGAGAATTTGTTCTCTTCGAGCGATAATTAAACCGCTTCCGCTCTAATGAGGGGATCTTTTTATCTCTGGCGGAATTCGAAGAAATTTGAAGAACGTTCGGAGATTGCTCCTCGGCTTCTTCATTATCTTTCTCGTCGGCCGCAAAAAAGAAGGATCTCCTCCATGAAGAAATTCGTAGCCGAGCGGACCACACAATCACCGCAACAGAGTTTCAATCGGCACCGAGGAAGCATTTCGAGATCCGCTCCCCATTACAGGAGCTGCAGGAAAAAACAACTCCTCAGGTACCGGTGTGGAAGCTGATCCCGATCTCCGGGATTCCATCAACGACGCTACGAGATCACCGACCTTGACTGGTTGACCAAAGCACGCAGACCGACAACACTTTAGGCATGCGCAGGCATCAAGGAAAAGGTCAAGGACCTAAGCAACGCAGAAAGGAGCGTAGAGCATTCCTCTTCCCACGTTAGCACGGGCTAACATCCTCTCGCGCCCACCAGCCTGGTGGGCCACAAATTCTCCCACAAGGGAACAATCTCTCAGATCGCAAGACCTTTTCGGTTGCAAAGCCTACGGTCGCAAGACCCTCTCGGCTGCAAAGCCTATGGGCATAAGGCTCTCTCGGCTGCAAAGCCTACGGTCCCAAAACCTTCTCGGCTGATGAGTCCTCGATCACGAGATCGCGTTTGTTTATATCCGCCATGTTTTGTCAAATTAGAAACGGCGACCTCTCATCTGCAAGACGCTCATACATTCACGCGAGCACACATACATACAATGCGGATAATCACTCGCTGATTCACACACACATCTTGAATATATTTATATAATATATTTTTTATAATTACTTTGTACATATTGTATAAACATATATATAACGAATTAAGCGCTGAACTGTACCCTTCCTTATTTTAATTTCTTATCCTCTACGATAAAAATTTGGTGGCAGTAATTAATATCTTCTCCCCAATTCTCCAAATAATGTTCCCCCCGAAAAAAGGTCGGGACAACTGCTCTTAGTCTCCTCCCTCCCTCCTCTCTCTCTCTCTCTCTCTTCTTCTTTCTCACTCAAATCCTTCTTTATGTCTCTTGCTAGAAGGTATTGGATCATGTAGTTTCTTACAATTTTTATTTCATATTTTTTTTGTAAATTCAATCGTTTTCATATTATCTCAATATATTGATCAAAATACGATATTCTGTATATTTTTCAATCTTTATTATCTTATTTTACTTATTATAATGAAAAAAATCCACGTTAACTTGAAATTCTTATAAAAATAATTAATATATATATTATCAAACTTATATGTGCTAATACGTGATTAATTATATTATATATACTTCAGCATTCAGCATGCATTGACTTACAATTTATATTGAGTTTCATTACAAAAATTTTTTGATAAAACTTATACATCATACAAGTCCATTAAAAGATTACCATATTTATCTCTCAACCGTTTCCGTCCACTAGAATAACGCGTTTCTTGAGTACCATCTGCATATACTAATTTCACAGTACCATCAGGATATTCTCGTCTCTAAAATATATACGTATGTGTTGTACATATACATATTATATTTATATTACGTGTGTGTATGTGTGTGTGTGTGTGTGTGTGTGTGTGTGTGTGTGTGTGTGTATATATATATATATTATAAATTATATTAATTAAAAAACTTATGAGTCTATGAAAGAAATCAAGTATATATTGCATGAGAAGGGGAATCAAAATATATTTAAAATATAAAATAAGAAGCTAAACATTTGTTCACCTTATGTGCATTTGTGTGAATTTCTCTTTGGCCATTTGATAAAGTCAAAATCTTGTCACCATTAATAAAAGTTTGTGCTATTGTTCCATCTGGTAATAACCACTTCTCTGTACCATCTGTTTGTGCTAATTGTATAACGCCATCCGGAAACAACACTTCCACAGTGCCATCAGACATACGCTTTTCCACTTGACCACTATATATAAATATATATATATATATATATACACGCACGCACGCACGTACGCACGCATGCGCGCGCGCGTGTACACATATATTATACATATACATATACATATACATATATACATATACATATACATATATACACATTTTTTCATTTATTATTTATTGATTATTTGATTATTTAGAGAATAAAATCTTACAGCTTACATCTTACAATTTAAAGAAATAATAATGAAATAAACATACTCAGGAAATTCTAGAATCTCTAAACCATCAGGAGTAGTTGTATGCCATGTTCGAGTTATGGAGTAAAAATATTTTATTTTTCCATTTTTGTCAGTTTCACGAACATCTCCGTTATAATAAATCATTTTTGTAATTTCTTGATCAGGGAAAATTTTCTTGATATTACCATTCGGATACCAATACTCTATATGTCCATCAGAATATTGAATCTGTTTTACAATGTTTTTCATCTTACTATTTTGTAGTAAGGAGGGGGAAGATAAATTTTTCTCCAATGATGTTCCATCCTGAATCTTTATGTCATTTTCGTTTAAGTTATGATATACTTCATGTGATCCATTAATGTAATTCTGTACATTATTCGTAGCGCAATCTATTTTATGCATAAACTCTTTGTTTGAATTACTGAAATAGGATTTATCGTTGCTTTCCATATCTAAATTTTGTATTTGCGTAACTATCGATTGAGAGTCATTCAACATACTTTGCTTTATATCAAACGGGTGTTGATTTTCTCTTTCCAAATCTGATGTTACATCTTTCAGTAAATTTTCATATAAATGTCGTTTTTTTTTACGTTTTCTTCTGAACACTTTTTATCACATTCAGACTGCGATTCAATATCAATTCGTCTAGACGTTGCTTTATTTAAAGATATATTAGCCTCTATTTGTCCAAAGCCATTATTCATATTAGTTGCACTCGATTTTATTGATTTGTTTTTATCTTTATATGCATCTTCTTCATTATTATCATGGACGGAAATATCTAATAAAGCATCCGATAAATTTTGACACATTTTTATCGGAGATTTTTTGGGTGAAGCCATGACGCGTTTGTTAATTTGATTAATAGCTTTTGTAATTACTTGCCCTGTGCTTTTTCTAAAATTTTTAACATTTATTTTTCTAATATTCTGTAAATTTACAATTTCTTGTTTCAACTTTGAAATTTCTATCTGTAATACACGAAGTTCACTTTTATACCTAGATTCAATGGCGTTCCATCTGCTCTCTTTGATGTTCAATTCAGCTCTCAATTGTTCCAATTGTTCTTGTAGATTTTGCACTTTTTGTCTTTCCATTTTATTTTGCCTTGCCTTCTCTTGTGCATCACGAATTCTATTCTCCATTGCAACTTTCTGACGTGCCACTTTCTTTTTTTCGTTTTCTAATTGATTTTGAATTCTTTTTTTATTTTCTTCAAAATTCCTTTCTTTCTCCACATATTTTTTATGTAGTATTGTTTCATCTGCTTGTAGTTTTCGACGTTGAAGTAATAAGGCTGAACTTTCCTTTCGAAATATACCTATTTCTTTTTCGAGTTCTAATAAGTTACTTTTTAAAATCTCTGTCTCAAAAGTATCTGTTTTATTCATTTGCTCTTCAAACGAATAAGGATCAATTTCTTTTGTATTCAAATATATTTTCGCTATTTTCTCCGTTATTTTTTCTGGCTTTCTTCTTACTTTCGTTTTTTTGTATGTACTTAGGTGCTGATTGCTTAACGACAATGATGATGACGATGCTGGAGATGACAAAATTGATTGTTCTTCATCAGATGCATGATCAATTTCTTTCATTATTGAATTATACTCTTTATCAGAACACATATCTTCATCTTGCTGCAATGAATTGGAAATATCAACTATTTTTTCATTGATATTTTTTTGAAAAGAATTATTAATTTGTTCTTCATAATTAAATGACAACTTTTCAACATTAGACGACTCCGTCTCTGTATCAACAGAATGATCATTAGAATTTTGCTCAAAATAATCCTTCAAAGAAGGATTATTTGTCATGTCAGATATGTCTATAGTTCTACACTCATTATATTCTGAAAATCTAACACGATGATTACCATCTGTTTCATTATCATATGTATCATATAAATCATGATCATTTTCAGAAATATTCTTTTTTCATCATTTGATAATATTGCCATAACAGATGTATCATGATTTTTTAAATTATTTATGTATGCTTCATTATTTTGTAATTCTTGATCTACAGATATAAATTGGTCCTGTACCTCTTTTTGCACGTTATCAACAGTTTTAGTATTCCAATAAAAATCAGTAGCAACATTAATATGAGAATGTTTATGGAAATCGAATTGCTCTGAGCATTGTATACTCAATTTTGAATTTTGAATGGGTGCAATTTGTTGAACTATTGGCTTCTGTTCAACTGTATCATTTGTTTGTTCATCATTTTGCTTTTCTATCTTTTCTTTTGCTTGTGCTTGATTTAATCTGTTTTTTATTTTAAATGGTGTGGACTGTTGCAAAAATGCAAGTACTGTGCTTGATGTTGAACAAAAACTAGAATTTTCTGCCTTTTCTTCCAAAAGTTCAAATATTCTTACTTCCTCTAATTCTTTTTCTATTTTTGAATCAAATTTTGAAAAATTTGTAATATTCTCTTTGATTTCTGGTAAATATTTTGACTCATTAGAAATAATATTATACATAATTTGGTCAGTAGGAGTAATAGATTTATTAATAATCTTACTTTTCGGTAATGAAACAGTATTTAAGTTCAATTGTTGTTTTTCATTTGTAACAGAAACATTAGTTTTTGGAAGTACATGTTTGTGTATAGTAGATTTCTTGCTTTTATCATTTCTATTAAGATGTATATTGGAGGTTAAGAATGTGCTATGCTTTTTTTTGTTGTTGGAGGATATAAATTTGTAGATATTTTAAATCTTAACAATCCTTGACCTTTCTTTAGAAATGGCTTCTTTGGCTTAATTTTCATGTCACTATGTACACTTGGCATAATTTCTGAGTCTTTTTTCAATTTCTCTTCTAATAACATTTGAAAATCTTTTTTAGATGCAGAAAGAGGAATATCTTCAATTAAAACATACTTATTTAAAGTATTACTGGACAAGAGTGGCTTTATTCCTTCTATTGATGAATCATTTAATTCTTCTTTTTGTGACAAAATACTACACTTGTAATCTTCCATAGAATTTATATTTTTATCAACAATTGTAGAAATGCATTTTGATTCATTTTGCTCGTCATCACAAGTTTTGTACAATAGATTAGAATTTGCTAATACTTCTTTATCAATTATCCCTGATACATTATCCAAATTTTTTGTATCATACTGAAGCATTAAAGTATTATCAGTTTTTTCTACACCTATTTCTTTGTTCATTATATATAAATTTTTTGAATCTTCAGTTATATCAATCTCATGTATTGGTAAACCAAATACTTTATAAATTTGGTCCTGTTCATGACTTAAAATCTCCCTTTGTGTTTGCTGCTGTTTTAATAATTTTTCTTGTTGTTCTATTTGCCATTGCTTTAATTTCTGTAAGCGTTCAGCTATAGAAGCTTCTATATCCATAGTATTTATCTAAAATAGTAAAAGCTATTAAACAAAAATTGTTCACTTAAAATAGTTCTTTGCTTCAAAAAATAAAACTTAGCAATATATAAATAATTATATATCTATTTACAATATATATGATATATATGGCTATATATTTATATATATTTATGATATATATGTACAAAATAATATCTAAATTGTCATAGACGAATAAAATAATCATTTAAATAAAAATTTGTTTTTAAACCATTACTAATAATTATCCTGTTCAATAAATTAAAAATTTTTATTTAACAAGAACCAGACAAGGTGTTTTATAGATTTATTGTTATTGAAAACAAATTGCTCTATTATGTTACATTTTTAAGAGACTCTTATTTAAAGATGTTAGCATTTTTGGATACTTATTAAGTTAAAATAATTAAAAAATATGACATGATAAAACAATGTCATTTGCAGATATATTTTCAATAACAAAAAATCTATAAAAGTCACTATTATATTAGCAGCTATGTAAATTTATAATTATAGATAATTAAAACAAAGGACAGTAATAGCCCACTCATGCAATAGTCATTTGCATATGACAATTTTTGTTATCACTGAGTATGAATCCAAAACTCAATACTGTCTAATATAATTTATTTAACCAATTGTTAAATGTTGTAACTTGTTGGTAAAATAATATAAAATTTAAGAAATTTGACGAACAGAAGGTAGATAGTACAAATAGTAAAAATAGTAATGTTTATATAACATGTTTTTTCCAGAAGTTTACTTAGTTTATTTGACAATACCTGACTTCTCAGTAAACGAAAATGGATTAAAATTTTCAAAAGTATGTATTCCTGAATGTTGAAATAAATCCATTTCAATACCTACTTTTGTATTCATTTATAGGAATTGAATGAAACATATTTTCCTGCCTTTTAATTCAGAAATAAGTTCAGTTTTAAAAAGTGGATCGTGAATACTGCTCAATTCAAAATTTTGGATAAGAAATGCAGATACATTGGATTTTCAATCCAATGTAATTCAAATTCAATATAATTTAATTCAATTGAATACAAAAAAGTTTCCATATGTGTGTGTAAAAATATTATTATATATATAAATAGATACAAAGGCACTGAGCATTGAAATGGATTCATTTCAACATTAACGAATGTGTACTTCTCAAAATTTCGATCCATTTTAATCCATTTTTGTTTAACTGGGATGGATTCATCATCTGTGACACCAGAAACTATTATGTGATTATCTTAATTATGTAAGCAGATTACCATCCTTCTTTCTTTTAATTTATCTAACTAACTGTAGCTTTTTATATAAAGCAGCTAATAGGTGACTTTTAAAAATTTCTTACTACTAAAAATAAATCTACAAATATTATTGCTATTACATCACAATTTTCAATTATTTTACCATAAAAAATATCAAAGAAATCTTTAAATCTAATTTCATTAAAAATATAACATCATAGAAGTTTCATCTGCAGATTTATTTTCAAACAATAAAAAATCTATAAAAATTACCTTGTCTGATGATCTAAAATGTTAAATACTCTTTTTAAATATGTTGTAAAAATAATATTTACTTAAAACAAAGTATGTGACACTTTATTGAAGCATTGATAAATATAGTATTAATATGTATGATGTACGATGATATATATGTGTATATGTATATATGTGTATGTATGTATGTGTATGTGTGTGTGTGTGTGTGTGTGTGTGTGTGTGTGTATGTGTGTGTGTGTGTGTGTATTCAAAATTATTCAATTCAAAATTAAAAAAAAATTATTACTAAAGGTAAATCTGTGAAAATTGTTGAATTTTTAAATACGGAATGGATGCAAGTAAATGCTGTCATTCATAAAACATATTCCCGAGATATTCACAAGGATAAGCAATAAAATTATTAGTCGCGGTTTGCGGCACGATGAGAAAAGAAAAGGTTCTGACTCATGGCGGCTTTTTACCATCATCAGTACAATCCTGACCAGACTGCGTGGCTAATTTAAGTTAAGTGGTCGTTATAGACGCAAAAG